AGTCAGTCAGTACATGCAAAAGAAGTGGCTCCATAGTGTAGTGATTTAGACATTTCCCTAACAAGCAAATCCCAAGTTTGATCCTGGGAGGAGACAGAATTCCCTTTAGGGTTGCGTCAGGAAGGGCATCCGGCATTTAAAAAAAAAGTCTGCCAAATCAAACATGCGGAGCTCCCTGCTGTGATGACCCCTCGTGAATAACGGAGCAGCCAAACATTTCCTTTCTGAATAAGCTGAACACAACATTGTGAAATGTGACAGCTTTTACTGCATGCCTTTATCTTACTCAGTGCCATCTCCATGATTAAACCCAGGACTTCCCAAACCTAGTGATCAGTGAACTGATGGGCACAGCATCACAAAAGCTTACAGACCTGTAAGCTGCATTAAAAAAAAAGCAAAAAAAAAGAAAAGCAAAATGTAATCGCAAGCAAATGAGCAGCTAAAGCAAGGAAGAAAACAGCAAGGCACCATTAAGGCAGAAATAATGAATAATGTGTTGTTTAGATGTATTTTTATAGTGCATCACAGATTTTGTCTTATTCTTTGAGCTGCCCCCCTAGCTGGTATACTATCCAAATTTCATGGTAGCAAAAGAAAAAGAATGTAACATTTAAACTGGCGAGTAGGTTTATCTGCAAATCTTATGACGTTGATGAATACAAGACTTTAGTGTTTTAAATGTGTCATATAATTATACAAAGACCCATAGAACAATAGGCCTCAGTCTTTCCACTGAGAATCTGATTTCTTATATAGATACCCAAGATTGACTCTAAAAACTCTCTTAAGAGACCCTCTAAGGAATCTTTGCACCAAAATCCACGGGATTTTCTAGGAATAGTGACACTATTTTCTGGAGCAGATGAGTTTTCAAGTTAAATTGTTATGGCAACGTAACCCTTTAAAAACCAAACTATTGTCATGAAACAAAAAAAACAAGCTACCAAGTAAATCTGAAGTTCCCATTGCTGAGCTTCAAATCCTGCTTCATAGCACAGGCCTCAGATTTTTGCCCTTTATTATTATTCCTATCTGCCCATGGATCAGTAGCTGAGACCCATTCCATCAACTTACCAGTCTAGAGTCACCATCCCTTCCCCAGTATCGACCATTCTGGCCAAATTTATTCTGGCTTTGTCTCTTTTTCTGTCCACCATCAGCAAACTTGCAGAGCAAAGGTTCAGTTGGGGCTAAAAAGAAAAAAAGAAAAAAGAAAGAGGCATGGCAAGAGAATGAAATATGAGATTTGTGTTTAACAAACACTATTGCACAGACTCATTGTTCGCCATTATTTTCTGTGTAGTCAGTCACTCTCTGAAGCCTAGGAGTACACATTTACTAGCCAGCCTGGGAACACAGACATCTAATTTGGCAGCTGTGGAGCTTTAATCCCCTCCCCTTCCTGACCAAGGCACGGCCAGCAGAGACTACTTCAGTCTAATAATCCAATTAAAACGCTTAGAGAGGGAGTGAAAGCCACACAGAGCAGCTCTTTCATTTTCTTTGTCTATGCTCTGCCTCTTAGGGCTGAGTGTATATGAGCTCTTTACCAGCAGACTCACTGACTCCTGTTGGAAGAATGAACCACTGAGCCAGTCACTTCATCTTGCCCATACAACTCCACCCAATCTTATGCAGACTAGCCCTAATAGACTTTATTTTCTATCACATCTTTTTGTTAATGACATAGGTGTTAAACCTTAAATGCAGTATTTTGTACAATACACACCACCAAATATAGTATAGGTATAGTGTATGTTCTTACCTGGTACACCTGGAGGTGTCTTAATGAACTTTCCATTGAAGTGTGAAATGACTGCATCACATTTTTCCGTTGACTCCATCCTGAAGCCCAAAAACAGAGTGAAAAACAACAGAAGTGACATTTGCAGCAACAAGGCGTCAGGTGCTTTCCTAAAATGACTTCTTTATCAGTTGGTGGAAGCGGTGGTTTGTCATAAGTGATTTTTATCTACAAGTTCATAGCGTGCATCTTTTGTAGAATCAACTTGAAGGGTTTTGGACATGCACAAAAAGATTCCCGTGATGAAATATGATAATTTCTGTTTTGCCCGTCGTGACCATGGCTTTGACTGTCAGGTATTTTAGTTAAATGTCAGGTTATGCGAGTACGACTGGCGGAAGCTATTATTATCACTGCAATTAAATAAACCAGTCATTGTGAAACTATTTTTAAAGGCGTTTCCATTTGTCCATACATGAACAGTTTCTTTGTTAATCGACAACAGCCCCAGTGTATTTGTTTTTAGGTATTATTTTTAAGAAGTGAAACAAATTCTGAAAAGGGCATTGAGATTTTTACAACAAGAATCATCTTTTTTTTAGTGATATAAAGATTTATTTCTACTTTATGACTGGTAAAAACCAAGTAGAACATAGCAAATGTGATTAAGACTGTGGCATTGTTAATAATAAGTTAATATCAGACTTCCTGTTGATTTTCTTGCCTGTCTGGAAAGGCCCATGCCACATGTTTCTATTCCTGGCCTTGACAACACTTATGTTTTAGTGGCCAAAGATATAGTTGTAAATATACCTCTTTTGGCCAGGAAGCAAACCAACAATTTTTCAACAAACAATATACAATGCTAGTTAGAGGCCAGAGAAGTTTTTCAGTTATTTCACATGCCTATTTGGTTTAGTCATACCAGTGCGGTATGCACAGCGGGGGAAAACAACAACAACAACCTCTCAATACTATTTCAAGTTCTATATCTGACAATAAATTACAAAAGAATCCAACCTTGCAAAGCCCACTCCTCTGCTGACTCCACTGGAGTCCCTCAGGATGCGAGTTGATATGACCTGGCCAAAATGCTTTAACATGTTCTCCAGTTCCTGCTCATCCACAGACACAGGCAAGTTGGAGATGTACAAGTTTGTTGGGTCTTGTTCTTGTTGCTACGAAGAAGAAGAAGAAGAGAAAAAGAACAAAACGCACATATATCAAAACATTGTAATTGCAATACCAGAAATGCCTTAAACACACCTGAAAAAATATTCCTTTGTAATATCACATCCACACTGACTTTTTAGTAATGTGTAGACGGAAGAGGAAAGGAGCCACTTCCTTAGGAATTCAATATTATTTATCCTCAGTAATGGGGGAGTTTTCAGTAATAAGGGGTTGGCTAAGAGCACTGATAAGAAGATATTTGCATGCGGCTCATGGTGGCTTAAGGCTCGCAGCTGGCTTCTTGATGTATTTTAAGAGCATCAGCAGAAATGCAAGAGATAGCTATGAATCCCTGGGGAGAGGCCTCTCACTATAGGCATCTGTGTTGTGTTTTTCATAAACAGCAACAATAACAGAAAATGGAATGACAACAAATTAGCTGCAGCTTAGACAACACCAAACAATAGCAATGTGTTCAAACATAGGATTTAACCCTCAAAACTGAATGGTTGCTGGTGCCAGATGGGCTGGTCTGAGTATTTCAGAAACTGTGGTGTGGGAAAATCCCAGCAGATCAGCAATCTTTAGGGTTTACAGAGAATAGTTTGAAAAGGAGAAAATATCCAACATACTGTTGATGCTAGAAGTCAGAGGAAAACGGTCAAATTGCTTTAAACTAACAGCAAGACCAATTATCATCAACATATGCAGAAGAGCATCTCTAAACACACATCAGCAGCAGAAGCAAACAGCGGGTTGTACTCCTTTCAGCTAAGAACAGGAAATGAAGCGAAAGTTCACACAGGTTCTGCTGAAACTGTTAGATCTTTGCTGGCAGAGTGGACACCCATAAATCAATCAATAAGTGAGCTTCTTTTTATGGTTGTTAGACATGACTTAATTGTAAATATTCACGGGGAATTTTGACCCAGTACTTACCGTTACTTGTGACTTATGTAAACAGAAGTTAGATTGAGGTGAATGACCTCATTTTAAAGATCCAGTAAGTCGACTTCAATAGCCTATCTATTTCTATCTGGATTCAGTTTTTCCTTAATGATCCAAATCGAAGTAACAATAACAATGGTACGCACATGACGAAGTATCTAAAACCTTAAGAAACATTTATTTTTAATGTTTCTATTAAAAAAAAATAAGACACGGAAATGACACAGGACACTTGCTCCTTGCTCAGTGTTGTGTGGGAAGGTGAACTATTTTTTCCCAGACAATCCACTGTTACCAAACCAACTCTCAATTATTCATTTCCTTTTCTGAAAGATATAAAGCCACAAGTAAAATAACATGACTTTAGAGCCCACCAACAAACCATCTGTTATTTTATATTCCTGTATATTCATTTAACAATATTCAAAACTCTAACTTGAACTGCTGTACAAATATACGATTATATTGGGAGACTTAATGAAAAGTCTTTGAAGTGGGTAGAATATTATCAGCCTGGACAGACATACCGTAGGAGCACATCAACATGGATATACATGAAGTGATGAAAAATAATCGAGCTGTGTCACCATCACCAATTTTACTCGCAGTACTACTTTTTGTTTTAGACAATAGCAATTTCAAATAAAACATTAAATAACATAACAAACATAAATATTGTTTAGAGCTGTAATATAATCTGCTTTGTTTTGCTCAAATTTAACAGGAATTTATGGTCTGTTCTCTAAACTCCCACAAACTTCAGTTCCTTTTTAAGTGTTTCATTCAAGTTAACAGACTGAGTTGCTTCTGCTTCATGTATTATTGAGTAGGGCCTTTTCTAATAAACGAATCTAACATCATTTATAAAAGCTGAAAATAATGTTTGTTACAAACAGACCACCAAATAATTTTATTTTAGTATTTGGTATGACCCCCTAGTGGTTTTAATGATAACATGTACGTGATCTGATATGTACTCTACAAAGCCTGATGATCCAAGTCATCCCACTACAGTTTGAAAAAACGTCCTACGATACGAGGAATGTATTCGATTTCTCTCATTAATTAAGGCTACGTCCACACGTACCCGGGTATTTTTGAAAACGCAGATTTTTCTATCCGTTTGCACCTTTCGTCCACACGTAAACGGCGTTTTTGGTCACTGAAAACGGAGATGTTTAAAAACTCCGGGCAGGGTGGATATTTTTGATAACTCCGTTTTTGCATTTACCTGTGGGTCAAAGGTGTGTGCATTTTTTGACATCACACTGTGCGCCACGTTATTGTTTCGGTGAAATGAATTTCACCAATACTATTACTGTTAATTGTACTCTCTGCAGTGTTTAAATGCTTACATATACACATACAGTTACTGTCCCTCCACACATATAACTTGGTTCTGCTTCTATGCCCCAGCTTTGTTTACTATTTCCCACCGAGGCTTCTAGACTTCTGATTGGCCAACATTTCTGCACGGTTAGGAATATAGCGCCACCTGCTGCTTTGGCATGTTCCTAGCAGCGTTTTCCTTCATTTCTGCCTTTACGTGTGGACGGGATTATTTTTTAAAAATGAAAACGGAAAATCTCCGTTTTCAAAAATACCCGTGTACATGTGGACGTAGCCAAGTGTCCCCATAAATATTCAGACGGGTTAAGGTCATGTAATCGTGGAGTGAAGTCCTCCGTGGTCTTCTTTGGTGTTAAAATGGTTCTTGCAAAGTGTTGACTATATTTTGGAACATTGTCCTGCTGTAGTATAACTTCTTGAATACTGCCAAAACAATGTGTCACAAAGTATTTGATACACAGTAGTACCCTTGACTCCTTATATTTACATGAGAATTTGGCTTTTCCTCTTTTTAAATGCAGTTTAGAGATCACTACTCACATTCTGAGAGCCTTCTGTTGGTTTTTGGAATCTTTGACTTTTTATTTTGCTAATCATGCATCTGTGAAAAAAGCTTTATGTATCGATTTCGTAATGATGTAGTAACTTCTGGTCTGCGTCACTGCGATTTTAGTATAACTGATACTGTTTCTCCAAAGTGCACTGGAGTTTCATGCACCTTTAAAACGTTCAGTCAAGCCCTGAGAATTTGACACAGAACAATTTGAGTCACTTTGTCCTGATGTCATGTTTCCCATCATCACGGCGCTACTTAACGCGCAACACAGTTCACAGCCATATTTATAGGAGCTGAGCAACAACTGCAACTTGATCTACTTGAACAAGCTTCTGATGAGTAGATCCAATCCAGCTGAGCATCAACTGATTGCAAGCTTCAACAGAAGAAAAACAAGTCAAGGAAATACTGACCAATCCCAGCAAACATGTCACAATGTTGTTGTTTCTTTAAATGTTTAAAATCCTCAAACTTTCAGATTATTTTTAAAGCTCAGATACAAATTAGTTTTCTGGAATGCTCTGTGTTCATCCATATATGAGAACAGGAGCATATTAACAAATGCACTTTGACTCAAAAGCAGAAATTTACTAAAAAATGATAACAAATGCAACAGAAGTCCAACTAGTTTTGTACAAATGAGAACCAAAATGGAAACTGATAGAACACAAGTGAAGAAGACTATTAATGACAGCAAAAAAGACACCAAGGAGAAAGCTGCAGGAAGAGGTTGGAGATTCAGCAAATGTCTTGGTAGAGTCATTTTGACAGCAGTTGTTCTTTTGACAAGACATGAACTATGACCTCCCAGCTCACTGAACATCAACTCCTAAATCACGTTTAAAGCACACACACACCAGAAATACCTGTTACACATTAACCTACCATTTTGTTCATTAATAATTACTGCAAATGGAACAACTGCAGAGTACATATTCAGCCTGTATTAGTGTACAGTACCGTTTCTTATTGTTCCACTAATCTTGTTTGCAAAGCATCACCGTACAAGCCAGGGACATTAAAACTCATTTTACATTGAGGGCCACATACAGCCCACTTTGATCTTGGCCAGACAAGCGAAACTTCCCTTTCTGGCAGTATAAAGACATTTAACCCCGGAGATATGACAATAAAAGCTAGTGTTGCTACATGATAAATGTATAAAATTACAGAAAAAAAAAGGTCTGGTAGCTCACTGCACATTGTGTCCCATATTCCTGTTTTTCCTGTTCCTGTCCAGTAGCCCAGATTGGAGTCTTTGGCGGGCTAATTCTGGCCCTTGGCCCTTATGTTTGACAACCCTGCTACAAGTAATTGTATAATTCACATGCAGCAGCCTAGAGGCTGCCACAAACTGGTGCATGGGTTACTTTTGTCACACATACAGTAATTACACAAATAGAGACTGTTCTCAGCACACACTTCCTGTATGATTCAATTCAGTGATCAGAGCCAATGAGAATACTGGTTGTGGAACGTATATCATGTAATCCTGCTATGTAATACCTTAAGGATTAGTTTTAAGTTGATCAACTAGCCAGAAGGAGGACAAAGAGTGAAGCTGATTTGTATTGATGTGATATCAGGATTAGTCTGCAATGAATCCTTACCTTTGCCATCTGAGCCTGGACACCGCTTGTCTTCAAGGTAGCCACAGCTTTCTGAGCTGCAGCGGGGCTATCAAAGTCAACAAAGCCATATCCTGAGGGGATCAAACACATAATTAGGATGACATTCTAGACCAGAGACATTACATGAGGAGAAGACATGGCTGTCAACAAAGTCTGAATAAATCTACAAGGGACCCTCTGAGCCACTCAGCAGTCAAACTGAGAAACATGTTGTTGACAGTTTAAACTGTGTGACATACAAAAAGTGTTTGAGCATGAACCACCTTTTTAAGGTCATGCCACAGCATCTCAGTTGGATTCAGGTCAGGACTTTGACTAGGCCACTTAAGCCATTCAGAGGTGGATTTGCTGGTGTGTTCTGGATCATTGTCCTGCTGCAGAACCCAAATGTGCTTCAGCGTGAGAACACGAGCAGAATTCATGGTTCCATTTACTACAGCAAGTCTTTCAGGTCCTGTGGCAGCAAAACAGCCCCAAACGATCACATTACCACCACCATATTTCACTGTTGGAATGATGTTCCCTTTCTGAAATGCTGTGTTAGCCTTCC